CAATAATTTTTCAAAAAAGATTTTGGGGAGTAATTTTTTTAAGTATGTAATATAAGGAGAAGGAGAAGTCCTAGTGTTAAAATTAATAAAATACACATGGAGCTGTATATACTGAGAATCTTTTTTTTAAGCCATCACAAATCTCATTTATAGAACTGTCAGTTCCATTGTCTTTTTTGAACACCTGAAGTTCTGTTCTTGTAAATATGCTATGCACATCCTTAAGTAAACTTGACAGCATACATAATTTAAAAGCTGCTGGGTCTATAAATGTTTTCTTTCATTACATTGCAATCTGCACAGAGTGCCTTAAAGAGGGAAGCACAAGAGTCTGAATAAAAGATTAAAAGTCTTTGGACCTTGAAACCCTTGTGTATGACCTTAACCCAAAGGAAAAACCAGAACTGTGTTCAGTAAAGTAAACAAAAAACAGGCTTAAACTTGGCAGCTGAGACTGTGCATCTAGTCTCCCTAAAATAAAACTATTTTTTAAAAAACCACTTTTTAATAGCCAAAACGTATATCTTATAATATATCTTTTTTTTAAATCAGATGATAAACAAGAATAAATTTTGACTCTATCACACACATGAGCTTGTCTGTCTCTCCTAGGAAGATTCTGCCAATAGTTTATTTTGGCTTCCTCAGAGCTACATTCTCCAGCACAGAAATGTCCTTTAAGCCAAAACAGTCTAATCCCGAAGAGCATTCCCAGCCCCCTTCCTCCTTGCCACCTGGCTTTTGGGTGCGTAGGGCGTCAAAGACAGCTTGGAGAGAAAGAACCCACTAAGAAGGCTCATGTGCATGCACTCGCCCCTCTTGTGCACTCCAGGACCAAGAGCACTGTGCACCAGGCATGTTCAGTCACGCTCCATGTACTGCCTGCCATTTACTGCTCATGGCAACTCGATGACATAGCTGTCATTGTCGTGCCTAATTTGAAACTTAAGCAAAGATATTTTAAGTAACTTGCTTGGTTAATAGCTACCTATTTGGAGCTTCTTTTATCTCAGCCCTCTGGCTCTCAACCTTCTCTTATTTCTTTCTCATACTGCTTTCTTCTACATCCCTCTTCCATCTTTCTCCAGCTCGTAATAAACCTGGCTAGTAAAATAAGGGTGGTAGGCCTGTCAGCGTAGTGGTTATACCACAAAGTATACCACTAACCACAAAGTCAGCAGTTCAAAGCTACCAGCCACTGTGTGGGAGAAAGATGAGACTTTCTGCTCTGGGAAAGATTTACCGTCTCAGAAGCTCATGGGGGAAGTTCTACCCAGCCCCATAGGGTTGCTGTGAGTTAGCATTGACTTGATGGGACTGAGTTGAATCTTTGTAGGGGCACAGGGTCAAGATGATAGAGAAAATACACCTTGAATATTGCCTGTGGAAATAGTAATAGCTCTGGACAATACAACCAAGAAAGCAGGAGATTAGCAAGTTATGTTGTCTCAGGCTGATTTTTTATGATGTGTTGATTATCATGGCTACTAACATGGTCGTCTTAATTATTACATATATTTTCTTCATATATATGGAAAGAGAAATAAATGGAGTCTCCTGGTTTAGCAATAAGTCTACAAATCTCTAAAATTAAAGTTAATTATAGTCCAGATTCATAGAAAAGAAAACTTGGTAAGCAGTGGGGGGTCTCGTGTTGTTTTATTATTTTATTAAAGGGGAAAATGACTATTTTTTAAGTTTCTACAGAGTCACAACTCTTACTTCTGTATGTAAAAAGCAAATGTAATGAATGAAAAATGAAAGGTCACTGTAACCATTATCATGTTGGGTTTTCTCCTAAAGGTGAATGGCTTTCCAGGGTCACAGTGGAGTGTTGTTGGTTAGCAGGCAGCCTGTAAAGCCATTCAGCCTGAGTTTCCCAGTACTTCCCAGCCGTGCTCTATAAAATGGGGTTAATGACATCTCTACTCATAGGCTGTGGTGCAAATAAGATTAATTAATGTTAATTAGCAAATACATCAAATGTACAGTACATCATAAGCACTTTTATTGTTTTGTAAAATAGTGTTTCCAACAAATGGAATTTGTATCCACAAGTGTTGGCACAAGAGTCTTCTATATAACAAAATTTTTCATTATTATAAATATGAATTAATCTTTAATATAACAAAGAATATTAATATTATCTTATCAATTATTTGTATTATGTTATTTCTTTATTATAAATATATATTAATTCTTTAATATTAATAAAGAATATTAATATTCTTTTACTGCTCTAATTAATCATTTACCTTTAAACTTAATTTTTTATCAAAGCCACACTTTCTTTCTACCAAAGGCACCTTAATTCTATATTTAATGGCAATCCACTAACGCATAAGAACACCGTAAGTCATAAAATCACATACTGAGCATTTGGGGAAAAAAAAAAAAAGCTCATTTGTAATGGTCGCATGACCCAACACTAGCTCATAGACTAATTAAAGCACCTGGATTCTAAATAATTTAAATAAAAGGCTTAGTTCCAGGGAAGCAGCTATATGAAGGAGGAGATTGTTTTTCTATTATCACTGCCATTTCTGTTGTCATTACTCCAGCTTTGCTTTTGTGTGATCCCTGCCAGAAGCCAAGCTACTGGACGAGTGATCCTATTTCAGCACCAGCACGCTGAACAGCGGCTTTGTGAGTTTCCTAACCACTGTGTGGCTCCTAGTTAAATTTATGCTTCACCTCTGGCTCTCTTCACAGTGGGTCCTTTCAGTCAACACCAGACAAATTATAGAAAAACAGAGAGCAGCGTAATAAGAACATGTCCTGCCTCAATGTATAACAGTCTCAGTGACTCATTTTTTTTTCTTTCCTGGAAGGGAAAGTAAATCACATACTGAAAACACAAAGTGCATTCACATATTCAGGCACTGAAGATAGGTAGGTAAATAAATTCCTTCATCCTTATATTTAGATTGACTCAAGAAGCAAACACTGAGCATGAACACATTCAGCTGTGGATACCTGATCATTGGTTAAAAATTTGTCTGGGGAAGACAAATAGATAGCATACTTATGATCGATGATAGATTACCTGGTTGGAATCCTAAAGTCTACATTACTTCCCAACTTGTAAGCCACTTGTAATGCTGTTGATCCCACAACCCTCTGGATAGCTCTCCTCGATGCTGCTTTATCTACCTGGAACTGAGAAATCAGATCAAACCCTGTAGTGAGGGAACACAAAATGGGAGATTCCTAATGAGGTTGGTTTTATTCTTTCCCAAATGCAAAAATATACCAAAAGGACACATTTCCAATGATGCATCCCTACTTGCCTGGCAAGTCATCTTGGCCAATCCTGATCTTAGGGCAGAGCTGGTCTCCACCATTAGCATTCAAACTGACAGGGAACCCTGTAAAAGAAACAGCAGGTTGTTATTTTACTTCATCCCCTTAACATAATAAGAGCTGGACAACTATTTAAAGTATAATATTATACCAGTGAGTTGACTCTGATTCGCAGCAACCCTTCAGAACAGACTAGACTGATCCTGTGGGTTCTGAGGCTGCAACTCTTTGGGGGAGGAGAAAGTTTCAGAGAGGCTGGTGGTTTCAAACTACTGGCCTTGTGGTTAGCAGCCCAACGAGTAAGCACTATGCCACCAGGGCTCCCCTTAGCATACCAAGCAGCTTACTGTAAAGGATTTCTTTCATTCTATGATTCGAACCTTATAATTCACTCACCAACTCATCCTGGAAAGGATGCAAGACACCAACCAGGTTGCCTGAATTATTTGTGCTGGGAAAATGTTCCTTTTGAGGAGCTTAGGAATTTATTCCTCTTGGAACCCGAATGACACAATGTCTTGAATGGCATAGTGTCTGAACACTGTTGGGAAAACTCCTGGTGGTTTGGGCTAGGAAATAGTCCACAAACTCCACAGAGCTTAGAATGCCACAAAGGATGCAGGGCCAGCCTTGACAACAGGCTGCTGGAGATGGAGCTCTTAAGGATTTTTGTGAAATAAAGGAGGGGGTTGGGTGTCTTGGGATTCACTCACTAGTGCATAAATTAACTCAGTAATCATACAGTCATTAAAAAGTCCCTAATAATAAATAGTAATTCACTAAAAATAAATAATACCTAGAGGATGCATTCACTCCACAATTTCGTTCTAAAAGATCAAATAAGGGCGCTGACTAGACTATTGCTAGAAACCTCGAATGTGGAAGAATTAGGCGGAGAAACAATTGTGAAAAGGATCAGCGTAGAGTGGAGTGAGAGGGCAAGGGGGAAGGGTGAGGGGCTGTCCTTTAATCAGCCCAGAAGCTCTCTTCTAACTGTCCAACTCCAGTGCCCTGGCTGGTTTGCCTCACTACAAGGACTTCCTGACACCAGGGGGGAATCATTTTTCCATTTACGAAGCTTTGACCCCGCCATCCCAGCACACCTGATAAACTCTCCACCTATGCTGGGCCCAGAAGATTGGCTTCTATCTGTCTGTCATTCATCTGTTTACCCACATGTCCGTACAACATTTATGGAGCCCTGGAGTCGTAATGGGCTGCTAACCACAAGGTCAGCAGTTCCAAGCTACCAGTGGGAAAAAGATGAAGCTTTCTACTCCTGTAAAAAGTGACAGTCTCAGGAACCCACAGGAGCAGTTCTACCTTGTCCTTTAAGGTCTCTGAGTAGGAATTGACTCGACGGCTGTGAACCAGGCACTCTGCTAGACACTAGAGCACACAGACGGGCCTCCTGCCCACTGTGAACCAGCCAACAGAACACCAGCTGCTCTGAGAATACATCGAGGAGCCAAGGCTGCATTGCAGAGTGTGGGTGGAAAGTTCTATGGATGCTGCAGCCCCCCCCCCCCACACCATTCCTGGGAATGAGTGAGATTTCAGAATCTACAAGTCGTGACCCTTACTTGGGCGACGTCTGACAGTCGCAGATGTCCAGGGTCCCAGTAAACTGCATACAAAGAAGCAAACTGGAATTTTCCTAAAGAGGAGGGGGAAAAAAAGAAAAGAAAACTATACCTTCGACATGAGCCCCTCCAAATGTTAATTACTTTCATAGTTCTAAACCTGATAAACCTGATTAATGTAGGTGATCAAAGCCCAGTATCATGTATTGTTTCTCTATTTTGACTTTGAAACATACCAAAAGCTGTCACTAATTTAGACCTTTCTAGTCCCCATGCTCTCTGTTTGTTTGTTTGTTTTTTCCCTTTCACATCCTCTGTCTCTATAACACGATTTCTGTTCTGTGTATACGTCCTTGTCTCTGCTTTCTTATAGCTCTGTTCTTCTGTTTCTGCAGGACTCTACCTGTTTTACGGCCCCTTTCTTTCCCCTGTCTCTTTCGTCTTCTTTTATCTCTGTTCTCTGTCTCTCACACGTCGTCCTCTCTTCATTCTTATTCTCCTCTGTCTCTCTCTCCTATCTTACTTTCTCATCTTATCACCACGGAAGAAGCACAGACCCTTGGTTCTAAGGACCCCAGCCCACTCTCCCCATCCTCCTCCTCAGGGCCACCTTCTTACCAGCAACTCTTCATTTTGCCAGTTGGTTTTCTGTCGTTGCCAACGGCCCCTAGGAAGATGGGGCTGCAAGGGAGCCGGTGCTCCCCAAGGGCCCTTCACACCCACCCCAGGACTGACGGGCACTGTCTTGGACCCTCCTGGCCCGGTGAGGGCTAAAAGCAAAGGGAGTGAGCCAGAGGCATCTGGTGACACTTTAAACTGAAGCAGAGGAAAGGGGGTTGGGAAAGGCCCGCCCTATAAACCCAAACTAGCTGGGGGTGTGTCCCCAAAGCTTATAAAGTTACACTGAAGGAGGGATTAGCAGAGTAAACTTTACTGGGGAAAAAAAAAAAGGGATGTGGGGAAATTTACCCGAAAGACCCAAGCAAGCTGCTGTAGGAATACAGTAGGAGCTTTTAGAGCAGCCATAGGAATACAGGGGTGCTTTAGAGGTCTGAGACTCCAGCAGAGAGAGGCAGGACGTCCTGGGAGAGTTGTGACTCAGCCAGCCTAGGTTTGAATCCCATTTGCTCAGAAGTCCTTGGTCTAGTGAGTTGGGTGCTTGGTAACTCACTTGGTTCAACTGCTAAATGGAGTGAAAATAATGATTTGGGGTGTTGACTGAGATCCAAAGCCCAGGGGTTTAATGCCTTGCTCAGAATAGTCTTCAATCATGATTCTCATGGTTGGCATAGCTAACCCTTATTGAAGTTTAATAATGATATTTAATTCTCACCCCAAAACTCTATAAAAATAATATCGATGAGAAAATTAAAGCACAAAAAAGGTACTTGTCCCACGTTGAATAGCAAATGGCCCCGTCATGTCAGCTCCCTCGCCTGTGAGACAGCAACTTGGGAAAATGGAACATCACCCCCTCCCCAGTTCTTACTTTTTAAAAAAAATCGTTTTATTAGGGGCTCATACATCCTGAAATTGCACACTCGAAGTCAGGTCCTTCCAGAGAGCCCTCCCACTGGAATTCTTTCTTTGCAATCTGGATTCCTATCCCTCAGTTTGGGAAGGAAGAAGAGAGCAGACTTTCCTGGACGATTCAAGTGTTTGAGAAAGTCTTCTCTTATTGCTTGCCTCTGCTCCTCCCCCTGGAAAGAGCCCACTACAGCTAGAGTCTGAAGGCAGCCAGAGGTAGCTTTTAAATAAACGCTAAAAGAATGAAGAGGAAAGTAGGTTCGGCATGTTTCCAGGATGGCAGTTTTATTTAAGATGGTGAAAAGCAAGCAGCAGTTCTATTAAGAGAGACTATAAATCCAGAGAATATGTATATATTCTGGTCTGGGTCACGTTAAAGTCACAGTCTCATAAACTTGGCTCATTGCTACCACTGTTTTATCAGTTTATCTAGCAGAAAAAATGAAATGCCATCAATCATATCAGATTTCATACTGGTTAAGGTATGGTTTGCATCTGATCTAAGGCATAGTGTTTTCAATCATCTCGTATGCATGTGAAATGAGTAAGAAAGACCCAGGAATTATGACATTTCAATTATGATATTAATGAAGAATATTGAAAGTATGAACTTCCAAAGAACAACAAACCTTTCTGGGAAGAAGTGCAGCTCAGAATGTTCCTTAGAAGTAAGAATGTGAAGACTTTGTCTTATGTAGTTTGGGCAGGTTGTCAGGAGAGACCAAACCAAACTGGCTGCCATGGAGTTGATGCCAACTCAAAACGACGACCCGCGAGGACCGGGTCGGGTCGGGTCGGATCGCCTGCGTCTGAGTTTCTGAGACGGAAACTCCTCACAGGAGTAGGAAGAGCACCCGGACCCTGGAAAAGGGCACGAAGCTTGGCAAAGTCGAGGGGCTGCCAAACAGAGGAAGGCCCTCCAGGGAATGGATGGACACCGTGGCTGCAACAATGGGCTCAAACATGAGGACAATTGGGAGGATGGCGCAGGACCGGCAGTGTTTCCTGAGTCAGGAGAACTCGACAGCACCGAACAATGGTGATCTGCAGGCAGGCCCCTCGCCTGCTGGCTGTTGGAATCCCCCTAAGGCACCATCGAAGAAAACGCTGGCAGTCTGCTTCTGCAAACCTGCCAAGGAAAACCCGCGGAGCTCAAGTTTACTGGACACACATTGGTGTTGGGGTGGGGTGGTGGGGAGGAATGGGCACTAGTAGGAATCAACTCAATAGTAAATAGTTATTTTATAAAAGGAGGTATTTTACACACAGTTATACTTTCACACCTTCCAACTCCCTCCCTCCCACACACTGCCCTGCCCAACATGTACCCTTACACACTCGCCTCTTCCTTTTTTAAAAATCATTTTATGGGGGCCCTTACAGCTCTTCCTTTTAATAGATCCAGCATTGTATTCACTTATAGTCTACGTCAGCAAACATGCTAACAAATGACATCTTGTTACTCATTTACTTTCTCTTCTTTTGTTTGTTCAATCATTCGAGCAGCCTACTGAATAACTATATGGACCAATTACATGCTAGGGGTGAAGGATTGGGGGGGGGGAAATCAAGACTAAGCACCGCCTCCCCCCAGGAAGTGTAAAGTCGGGTAGGAGCACGAGACAACAAGGCCGGGCAGCCAGTGAAAGAGGCCGCAGTGTCGCTGAGAAACAAGGGGGATTCCGTCCAAGGGCATTGGGAAATGCCTCTGGGAGACAGAGATCCACACAGGATAAAGAGAAGCCTACTAAGGGAGCCAGTCGGTAGAAGCTTTGTCTCACTGCTAACAAGCCCATGTCAACTGATCGCAACTCTATAGACCAGGGTAGAACTGTTCTGTGAGCTTCTGAAACGGGGACTCCCTCACAGAGGTTTTGAACTTGTGGTTCAAAGCCCGCCCTGTGGTTGCCAGGCCGACACAACCACTGTGCCACCAGGGCTTTTTAGGCAGAGGAAACAGCGGCAGGTGCCATGACAAAAAGGTAGAAGAGAGAACTTTTGAGGGACCACAAGTCTAATTCAGCCACTCTTCCATTTGTTAATGTTTACTTGTGGCTCCTCCCCCAAGATCCCTGAACTGATCTCATCTCTGGAGCTGAGGCAAACACTTGGTGCCAGTTCTCAGAGAGCTCGTAGGCTGGTGGAGGGCCCTAGGTTTCTAGCTGCTGTAGAAAAGAACTCCCAAAAGTGAGCAGTGTCAGAGAACATTTATTTTTTCACAGTTCTTGAGGCTAATCTTTCACATCAGAGTCTGGGCTGTGTCGACTGCACCTTGTCAGTCTTCCCGGGCATTCTTTGACTTCTCAGAATGTCCCCCCGCATTTGTCTTGCCCTGCTGGTGGGCGTCTCTGTGTCCCTGCTGCCCCGTATGTCACTCCGAAGTGACTTGGTTTAAGATCCAGGCTCCATGGGTATGGATTCCACTGTTCAATCGAGTGGCTGCATTCCATTACGTGACATTAAGCTGCATTACACTCGGGTATATTAGATAAGGGGATTGCATTACAGGATATATCCAGTGATGATTGTATTACATTATATCGCATTCATAGGTATAGGGATGAGGATTTCATCATAATTGGAGGGGGAACAGTTCAATACATACGTACCATGGGAAGACAGACACTCAACTTGTTTATAAGAATGAACAAGATAATTTCCACTGGAATTCCATAGAAATGTAGAAGAGGGTAGTGTGTGTTAGGAAAAGACTGAGGCAGGCCTGAGATCAGTGGATCGCAACCCTCCTATTGCTGCGGCCCTTTCATACAGTTGCTCATGTTGTGGTGACCTCCAACCGTAAAATTATTTTTGTTGCTACTGCATAACTGTCATTTTGCTACTGTTATGAATCAGGCGACCCTTGTGAAAGGGTCAACCAACCCCCAAACGGGTCTTGAGCCACAACCTTAGAGGCTGACCTAGAGGCAAGGGTCCTGAAAGACTCCTTTGAGAGGCTGATTATCAAGAGTGAAGAGGTCCAACTGAGGTGAGTAGATGTTGATGCCATTTTATCAAAGGACAACAAGGAGGAGGGCCGTCGAGAGTTGGAGGAGTTGGGGACAGGCGGGTGCAAAGCTTTGAAGGAGTTTTAACTTGATTCTGGATTACTGTGGGAACTGAGTGAGGAGGCCAAGCAGGACTTATTTAGACACGGTTTAGAGACCATGGGGGTGCCCCTTGCAGGATGGACTGAATGAATTTCATCATTTGCCTGCATATAAGCAAGTGAAACAAAGGTTTCAAAACAGTACTTGCCCCCATGTAAATGTGATTCACTCAGTTTTCTGTTTTATTCTACTTCATTGTTTAATGATGGTAAGTCAATAATTAAGTTTTGGGCCACCAACCCGAGGTCTTAAATTCGATTAGAATACAGTTGACTCTAGCCAAGAGATATGTTGCCTCTTGTTTCCAAGTGTAGAGCACAATAGTCAGGATGTCCCCTAAAATGTCTAGAACAATAAGTCAAGTGCCTAAGTTTTAACAGGTTTGCATTTTAAAAATCATACCTTGAAATGAAGCTGCTATAAATGTTTCTCTCTCTCTCTCCCATCTCTCCCACCCCCGGCTCCCCACATCGAGTCATTTCTGACACATAGAAGCCTTATAGGATGGAGTAGAACTGGTTCTATGGGTTTCTGAGACTGTCAATCTTCACGAGAGTAGAAGACCTCATTTTAGCATTAATTAAAGATACCATGGCCCCCGTATTTAAATTATGTTACAAATTAAAGCAAAAAGGAGATGCTAAAATACTATATGTTTGCTTTCTTCTGTCGGTATCTTAAAAATAAAAGACCCAAAATACCTAGTGGCATATATCAGTTGTAGAAGAATGTTGCCAATTAGCCACAGCTAGAGTCTAAAATTTATCATAGCAATCTCTGGCTGAGAGGCTGATTAACAATCAGAGAGTTGCTAAAACTAGGACTCCCACAGTTTTGCATTGGGCTCAGTTTTACTCTAAAGAAATTTCGCCACAATCAAAGCTCTATTTTTAATCTGCTTATTTTGCTTCCATACTTGTAATTGTAGCCTAATCATCCATAGCAAGCTAATAGAGCCCCATGGTGATAGCCATTCCTCTCCAAAACCACGCTCA